CGCTTCCATCTGCTGCCCCAGCCGCGCCCGCCGCTGCACCTCTTCGACCGGTGAGGGCTGGCCTGGGCGCCGGCGGGGGACGCGGGCGGACGCCGCAGTGCCCGGAGATGGCTGCTTGGGCCGCGCTCAGCCGCGGGAGGCGGCGCTCGTGGCGCCAAACCTCCCGGTTTTACCTTTCCAACGCCCGGGAAGGGAGGGGGGAGAATTGCGGATCGTGGCAGTTTCGCCTAAAAGGTTTTTGCTCGTTTCCAGATATGAGGAAATCGATCTTGAGACGGGAATTCTGGAGACCAAGCGGGATCCCGTTCCATTAAGCGACATTTACCCGGTACATATGATTTTGGACGAGGGCGTCCAGGGCTCCTGCCAGTATTTGAAAGAGAGGCTGGACATTACTGATATGATCAGGACGAAGGACATGCAGCCCTGTTGCACCTACGTGGAGGCTTATGAAAAGTAAGCTTTGATTGGTTCTGCCCTCTACTTTTTAATATCCGCGTGCACTTTATTTGCTTATCCTGTTTAGAAGTAAACCGAACCCTGATCAAGGAACGCCAAATAAGTAAAAATAAACAGCCCAACCAACAAATCGCCAAGACGATTTTCACCAACACTGAAAGGGAAAGAAAGCCACCACAAATGAGGACAAACTGCTCTCCCTGCTAGCACTAACACCTAGTTACCTAGTTTAGGTAATGAAACGTCTGTAAGGAAAGAACCAAGCTCAGAGGGCACCAAGGACCACATGTATCTCTGGAGGCAGCTTATTCCAAAGGGCAGGAATAAGCCAGACCCTGGGTGCCACCAAATTGTATTTTTTAATTTACGGAACCTGAAGTGTAGCCACTCACCTAGATTGAATAGGCAACTGAAGGTAAGTGATTCTTCAGACAGCCATGGAGGGCTTTAAAGGTGTGATCACCAGAAGAAAAATAACAATTGCCCATTAATGGGTGGGCTGTAGGAGGAATTGTCATTGCATTGTCTGCTTGTGGCTGACATGGTCTATCTATCTATCTGGCGACAATATTGCTGGAGCACAGAAAGTGCTGTCTTTTTGGGGGGGATTCTCAAAACGACTCTTCTTTTTGCTTTGCAGTTGGGGAGAGAGGCTGGTTATTGTTGCCTCCCAGGTATTGCGCCACAGGGCACTAATCGGTTGGGAAGGGGATCCAGACTTAAAGCTTCCTGACTTCTCCTACTGCATTTTGGAGCGATTAGGACGAGCTCGTTGGCAAGGAGAGCTCCAAAAAGACCTCAGCGTGGCTTTTAAGTAAGTTGTAAGTGTTGTCTTATTCTGGACTAGCTCTTGTTATAATGCCAGAAAGGAAGGTTCTATGCACAGATATTCCCACAGTTGTGGAGAGCTGCTTATCTCAGGGATTAAAGCTTAATTTGGTTTGCCACTGAAATATTTTGTAAGCTAATTATGACTGCAACTTCTCTGTTAGCCTGGAGGATGCCTCCCTTTGGAGGGAAGCATAAGATACTGCTATAACAATGGGAGAACATTATCCCCGGGAATTTCCTTACTCTGAGCCAAGCTTCAGTTTCATTGTAATCCAAAACCTTTGAGGCAAGGGACGGTAACCTTTCTTGGCTTAGCAATTATCACCTTACGATTTAGGCTATTTAAGAAATTCAGTTGATGCAGAAATGTAGGTTCTTATTTGCCTTCTTCCAGTTTTTGTTATAAAGGAGGAGGGTTGTGGGGTTGGGGATAGCTGTTGTGCCATCTTTATGTTCCAAACATGATGAAGGCTCCTCTTTTATAGGGTGGATGCTGGAAAGCTTCACTATCATCGAAAAGTCCTGATCCAAAATGGGCTGATCTCAATGCAGTCCCACGTGATTAGATTGCCCTCGGGGATCCAACAGCACTCCATTCTTCTGCTTCTGAGCCGCTTTCACATTGACAGGTATGCGCTTTAGCAAGTTCACACTTGAGCTTTCAGTTGTGCTCCTCTCGGCTGTTGAGCATGTTTGAAAGCCCCAAATGTCACTACTCCCACTCTGTCTCTAATCTTCTTATCAGGTTTTATCATATTTGAATTGCTTTTTGGATCTGAGTTTCCTTTTCTTATGCATTTTGGAGATAGGGGACTAACTGATTGCCTAAGGGAGATACTTCAAGAAAGAGAAGGCCTCTTTCATGACATAAATTTCCTTCCTGGGGTCCCGAAGACCCCTTGGGGTGGTTAGCAGAGGGCCACGAGTCTTGGCAGCAGTCAGTTTTTGCAAGTTGTGTGTTTCCTTATGAGGGTAGACAAGACAGTGGCAACATAGCATTTGTTCATTGTTGCATCTTGGGTTTTAGGAGGAGCAAATATGATATTCTTATGGAGAAGCTCTCTGGCATGCTGAGCAGCCGGCCAGGTCAGATGGAAACACTGGGCAACATAAAGGAGGAATTGGTAAGGTTGAGAGCTTTTGAAATCAAAGATGTTGCATGTGAGTGCAGGATATCTATTGGCAGCATCTGCCCCTACAGTGGGCAGAATCTTCCGACCTGGCATCTGTTCTTCAAAGCATCCGAAGCATTAGAGATGTCTACCTTTGAGGCCACACAAATCCTGGGGATTTTCTGCAGCTGTAACAAAAGCTGAGGTGGAGGTTCAGTTATAGGATCTCCAAGAGTGCCCTTAGTTTATTTCTCCCTGCCCGAGATTCCGCACGTGTTTCTGCTTTTCCCACTTTTTCCCACGTCTATCCTGTCGCCAAACCTTGGAAGTCATGGGTGGTGCGCCAAAGAATTCCCACCTCCATTTGTTAGGGTCTAAGCAGTTGTTGAATCCTTGCTGTTGCTAGGCCCTTGGTAGCCAACTCAAACTGAAAGCAAGATTCCCATCTTTAATACAAGTTAAGGAAAGAGTAAAAGATAAGGTTATAGGTATCCTAGCAGCTAGGTTCCTTTTATTTTACAACCCAGGGCATAAATTGGAGATATATCAAGAATGCAAAATAATATTAACTTTTCATTTACTTTGTCCCAAAATGCATGAATGTGGGAAAATTATAGTTTGAATGTGTCTTGGTTAACTGATACTGGGCAGGCGGGAAAACCTGGCTGATTGGGAAAAATACATATTTGCTGAAGAGTTCAATGCCCCTCTCCTCTGGCTGCCGTGCAGGGTGTCTGTGAAAAAACCTTTAAGCGCCTCTATCAGTACATGCTGAACGCCAACTTGGGCAAGATGGTCTCTGTTCCGCTGCGGGACATGTGTTCTGACGGGAGGCCTTTGAAGACAAAGAAGGGTAAGTGAGGGGAAAGTCATGGGGCTCCCTGGGAAAAAGGTGGAACGGGGACCTGTGATTTTCCCGAGGACTTAAAGCAATTGCGGGGTTGGAAGAAATGCGTGGAGAGGAGCCTCTCCGTGCCCAGTTGCCTCTCTAGCATTGAAGAGGCTCCTCCTCGGGGCCTCTGGGAGATGCTGAGACGGGAACAAGCGGGTGGGGCTGAAGCAGGGCTGCCAGGATGCTGGGCAGAATTAAATGGGGCTTCAGTGCTGCGTCTTCAGTGCCCGGATCTATGCCGACTCTCTTCAGCCATTCCATGACCCTTTGGGGTTTATTCATTCTCAGGAACTCAAGTCATGGTCCGTTGTTTAAAGCTGGTGAAGGAATATCAGAAGAAGGTGGCTGACTTCCACGATGATGACGAAGAAGAAATGATTGCCAAAACTGTGCAGCCGGTGGACGTTGTGTATGAAAAGGACATGCTGGCACAAGCGTATGAGCTGAGTGGGTATCGTCTGGGTTGCTTTTTCTGTCTCTTTCAGCTGATGCCACTTCGGTTGCAGGGCAGAGAGAGAAAAGAGGGACAACTCGGTGCTCATGAAGCCTTGCTTAATGTTTCAGTGCAATTTGAATTTGGACTTTCAAAGTGGAACAGATTCTTGCTTATTTGTTGGGTCTGTAAGCCAGCCAATTCTTGGCAGTCCACAATGCAACTTCACAGTAGCCTAACACAAATAGTATACTGAAGTTTTCTGCTTATCTAATAAGGCTCACGAACGTGAGGGGATCAGACTCATGACATGAGTTTGGCACTTCCTACATCTGGCCTTCTTAGGTTTCTGTTCTACCTCCTGAACGAGCCATTCTTTCTAGCTGAAATGTTTAACCCCAGACCCCAAATGGGATAGAGATTTTGGAACACGACTGCCCAGATCTCACGACTCTCACAGAGACCGTATGAGCAGGACTACCAGCCCACTCCCACTCTGGCTTTCTTCCGAGCTTCAAGGGCCAAACTTCCCTCTGTAGCACCAGTGAGGGTTTAAGGCCCGGCAGCCCACCTTCAGCAGAAGCAGGGCTGATGCTCCAAGAGGACATTCCTGGCCATGACCAAAGCCAAGTCTACCTTTGGTTACCCCCCTCTCCCCCCCCCCTTTGCAGGAAGAATTGGGCCAGTAGCTAAAGGTGGGCCTGGCATGGCTGAGCTCTGGAACGTTGCTTCCTTTTTCTCCAGATGAGCTGAGTTGACATTACTTCAGTTCTTGCTAATGCTGGAGCTTGGTGCTCAGTGTTCTTCCAATTTCCTCATCCCCACTTCCTCTGCCTCACAGTTGAAAGCTGGGGGACCAAAGGTATTTCTCAGGCAGAACTTCGAGCTGCGATGAACGTGGGAAAGCTGGAAGCCCGGATGCTGTGTCGCTTGTTGGAGAGATATAAAGTGATCAAGGTAATACTCTAGGAGCCACTTTGTGGCCAGTCAGAACTGGGGGAAGGATTGTCATTGGCTTTGCCCTGTTTCCCAAAGGCATTTTGAGAGCTTTAAGGGCAAGGCAGAGGTTACAGCCGTGCTCTTTTCTGTTTAGGGATTCATGGAGGACGAGGGCAGGCAACGGACCACCAAATACATTGCACGGATGTATGCAGAACAGAGCGACCTGAGCCAGCAGTTTGAACGGGAGAAGGCTCGGAGCGAGAAGCTGGCTCAGGCCAGCATGGCTTTTGCACACGACGACCCTTTGCCTGGAGAACGGCTCCCGCTGGCGGAGGAGGAGGAGGAGGAGGAGGAGGAAGAGGAGGAGGAAAGGCAGGCAGTCCTCCTGGAACTGGAGAAGGAAGAGAAAGACAGAGCAAGGCGGAAGAAGGGCAGTGCACAGGCCCTGCCCGGCCTTGATTTCAAAGGAGGACGTGGCCAGTCAGCAAGGAGGAGAGGTACTGAGTGAGCGTTGCCTGTTGCCCAGGCAGAGGGCGCCAGAAGCCTTTCATTCAGGCTCCCTTGGGCCGTCCCCGTCTTACGCAAGGAACGCCTGTTGGGCTGTTCTTCATGCAACCAGCGCAAACCTCCCTCTGAGTTTGGACCACGGGGGGGGGGGGGGGGGGGGGGGGGGGGGGGGGGGATTGCCAGGCTCTGAAACGGGATATTAACTGAGATGAGCTCAGGAGAGAAACCTCTCAGCACTTTCCGGAAATT